CAATCTGCTGTGGCAAAGATAACCACATGCAGAGGAAGAGCGTCATTATGGCAGGTGACCTTGTAATGTAAAGAAAAGCTGAAACTATAGAAATACACTTTTCTACACAACCAGTAGGGATTCTCAGTGTGGTGTAGCAAACAGAGTGATGGCCTAGGACACTGGAGAACAGGGTTCAAATCTCCACTTGGTCATGGAAACTGACTGAGGGAGTGGAACTGGTAAAAGCCCTCCTTAAATATTTCACTTACCTTGAAAGCTCTTTAAGGGTTGCTATGAGTCGTTACCAACTTGATGGCACAGAACACACACCACTGGTAAGACCAAACGAACTCTGTTGCATTTGGTTATCCTAGACATAAATCCTTTAGAATTTGGAAATATTACTTTTGGGGCCACCCTCTCCCAGAATCTCTTAGTTTCTAGATGCTGTAATCCAAAAAGTAAATTTTGCAAGCTCTAATGTGCTTCTGCTGTATTCCATCAAAGCAACCAAGAGCACACAATCTTTGAGAAGATTCAGAATGAGAGAAGCCTGCACTGCCAGCAACATCCTTCATTAGTGACATCTAAAAGAGATGGAACAACCTTGCCAGTGCAGCTCTTCCTCAACATGCAGGCCATATGCTCCAAGCTCTGCTCATATACAATAATCTCTTAGGAAACATACATGTGAACAAAATCCTGCTGTGGACTTTGGCACAATCCTAATTCCACTTTACCATTCTGCCTTCTGTGTCAGAACACACACATATACACATGTGCAAGCTTGCTTTATCTCCCCATCTTCCCACAAATCTCCCCCATCTTACTGTTCCCCAAGCTATTATATAGTGGCAGTACCATTTGCCACTTGATTCCTTATACAGCACATTGCTAGTGATGGGAAGAATGGAAAGGAAATATTCCAACAGCCAGTGTTAACTGCACAAACAACAGACCTGCAGCAGAGTCCTAGGGACAGTTATATAACTTTGCCAATCAAGTCCAAATGATCCTCAGGGAAAGGAAGTCTTGTTGCACTTATCAGACTTAATTTTGGGTAAGGAGAGATGCTCTCTCTCTCTCTCTCTTCAGGGAAGCAAGGAGTAGAGCACATCACTTGCGTTTGCTTGGTGCGGAAGTTAAGAAATATAAAGGTTACATTAATGTGTCCATGAGCTAAGTTAAAGGGCGACCCACTTCTCCAAGTCAGTTTCTGTCTGGATCTCTAAGGAAATCACACCCACTCAAAAAGGAGAAGGTTACTATTTAAGCCTTAAGAGACAGGTCCTGCATAGTACTGTCAGTGTGTTGCTCATATCTTACCCCAAGTACCATATTCAAGGAATATATGCTAGTTGCACCCAAGGAGGGTTTTTTAAAATAAAGAAAATTATATATTTTTTCCACAGTACATTGGATAAAAGACATTAACAGAGACCTCAAGCTTGCAGAAGGTGGCAGGAATGAAAGCCATAACAGCAGCATCAGTGAGTAATGACTATAGTAATAAGGCTTCTGGAAAGAGAAAAAGCATGGTCTCCACCACCTTTTTTTGTGTGGAACAGAAATCATAGCGATGAGTGGCAGGAGCCACTGTGCAACTAAATATGCCTTCCAAATAGTGTACTAGCATCACTCCTAGTTAGATAAACAAATATCTGTCACACAATGATCTCAGAACACCTAAGGATATAGCACTGTTGAACCTAAGCAGGTATGGATAGACCTGAACACTGTTTGCCCGGAAACTCACTACCCTTCCTGGGTAAGCCACTCCTGGGCAGAGGTGTGTAATGAGTGATCCTCCTGATGTTGCTGGAATACACCTCTCTAGCCAGCACAGCAGGTGGTGAAGAATGATGGAAACTCAGAAGTTTCCTATTTTTGCTCCTAGGAAGTAGTGGACTAAAGGTATATGAAACACTAATTGATGTCTTTGTTCTCCAAAGTCATCTGTTCCAGACATGTTGGTTCCCTTTTGAGTGCCCCTCCAAAAAAAGGGGAAACATTTCTTCATTTTTTAAAATTTACTTTTAAATTTTTTTTCATACTGTTTAGGTTTTAGAAAAAAATAATTTGAAAATTAAAAACAAAAAAATCCATGTTTACCTAACTTTGTTCTAAGGCATTCTTCAGTCTCGAGAGACTATGGTAGCATGCTCTGTATGGAGGACTTGGAACAGCATCTAATGTGGCTGAGAAGGTCAATTTGAGAGTGACAATTCCTTCCACACTGAAAACAATCTGTCCCCTGTCCAGTTCCCTGATTTTGCTGATTTCGGGACTGCCTCTTTGCCTCAGACTGCTGGACAAGGGTCTCTTCAAATTGGGAGAGGCCGTGATGCACCGCCTGCCTCCAGGCTGAATGGTCAGATGTCAAGGTTTCCCATATGTTGAGGTCCATTCCTAAGGCCTTCAAATCCCGCTTGCAGATATCCTTGTATCACAGCTGTGGTCTCCCTCTGGGGCAATTTCCCTGCACCAATTCTCCACACAGGAGATCTTTTGGAATCTGTCCATCAGCCATTCTTACGACATGCCCAAGCCAATGTAGATGGCGCTGTTTCAGTTATGTATACATGCTAAAAATTCCAGCTCGTTCTAGGACTACTTTATTTGGAACTTTGTCCTGCCAGGTGATACCAAAACTGCATCAGAGGCAACACATATGGAAGGTGTTCAGCTTCCTCTCCTGCCCTGCACAAAGGGTCCAGGACTCACTGCAGTATAGGAGTGTACTCAGGACACAGGCTCTATAGACCTGGGTCTTGGTATATGTCGTCAGCTTCTTATTGAGCCATCCTCTCTTTGTGAATCTAGAGAACATGGTAGCTGCTTTGCCAATGCATTTATCCAACTCAACATCTAGGGAGAGAGTATCAGAGAATGTTGAGCCAAGGTACCCAAAGTCATGAACATCTTCCAATTCTTGCACGGACATGGTAATAGAGAGAGGTGAGTCCACGCCCTGGCCCATGACTTGTGTTTTCTTCAGGCTGATTGTTAATCCAAAATCTCGGCAGGCCTTGCTAAAACGATTCATGAGTTGTTGGAGGTCTTCAGCAGAGTGGGAAACAATGGCTGCATCATCGGCGAAGAGGAAGTCCCACATGCATTTCAGCTGGACTTTGGTCTTCACTCTCAATTTAGAGAGATTAAAGAGCTTTCCGTCTAATCTAGTCCTGAGATAGACACCTTCTGTTGCAGTTCCAAAGGCGTGCTTCAGCATGACAACTTTGTATCTACTTGGTTTAACATTTCTTGCAGAGTAACAGTTAATTTTCATTTTTTCCCCACAAAGTTAGGTGGCAGGATCCCTGCTGTCAAAAAAATATAAGCTAACAGAAAACAAATTGAGAGCCTGTAGTGAGAGTATTGAGCTAGAATTTCAAAGGTGCATGTTCTAGTCCTCAGTCAGCCATGAAACTCTCTGGGTAGCCTTGGGCCAGTTACTTTCTCTCAGCCTAATTAGAATAATGTCCTAAGACTAAGTAGGAGGATATGACAATTCACTCAACAACAACAACCAGCTATTACAAGCTTTATTTTTAATTGTTTTAGTTACTTGTTAGAAGAGATTTACTGAAGTAAGTGTAACACACACTGTCAACAGAAAGTCTTCACAGGTATCATTTAGGTTTCAGATAGAGTCACTACAAAGCACGTTGTGAGGACAGATGGCAGCATCCCATGTATGGGTGGAGTCTTGCACTAGAACTAGGGAGCCCAGAGTACAAATTCCCACTTGGCCATGGGAACTCACTTGGGGAGCAAAGGTAAACAACTACTTGGACATCTACTTAAAGAGTTGCCACAGGCTGGAAGTGACATGATAGCCTGTAACAATAATACTGTGTCAATATCACAAGGCTCTCTTTTATTATGTAGACTCATCAGCACTGGGAAAGCATTCCGATCTTAACAGGAGGACTGGAAAATGTGAGTGATCTTTACAAAGCCCTTAAAACAATAGGTCAGATGCCCTTAAAAATTCATCAACACCACATGAGAGTGTGAATTAGATAAACTCCCTTCCCCCACCAGGCTAAAGGAAAAGCGAACCACTGCGAAAAATAACACTGACTTCCTTTTAACTAATGTACCATAACATGCCTTTTATCTAGTTTTCAAATAAAAGTTCCTCTAGAGGTCAGACGCACGGTCCATTTTGTATCCCACTTCCCTTTTTTTAAAAAAGCTCTCCATATGGTTCATGTTATACTTTAAAGGTTTTAATTTAAAAAGGGGAGAGAGGGATGCAGAGGAAGGAAACGTTATCAGGTTTGGGGGTGGGGTGGGGTGGATCACAAATATCCAGCCTTCTCAATCAGAAAGGTCCACTGCTCCTTTCTCACAGTTGTAACTGAACTGCACAGGATACTTCGAGTACACAAAAACTCCTTGAAAACAGGGCTGGAGGCAGGAGGAAAGGCTCACCCGAAGCCACCCAGGACATTTCCCAGCTGACCGGAACGCCAACCTCTAACCACTGTAGCCCACTGCCCCACGCATCCTCAAGACACGGAGGCTCTGATTACGTGTCTAGAAACAAGCCGGTGCCCCCACTTCCTTCTCTGAATTGGGAACCTCTTTGATGAAGCCTTTCTTTCCCAAAGAAGGCGGCAAAGCTAGTTCTGCTCACGTCGCTATAAGAGTGCAGCACTATTCACAGCCACAAAATGTCTGTCTGTTTAAAGGAAGAAGGCGCGCAGGTGCTCGGCGACGGGGGAAAGAGACCCGCTTCGCCGGCTTCCAATGCTTCCCCAGCTCCTTCGAGACCCGGGGCAGGCATCCGACGGCGCCACCGGTCGCGGGCGAGCTTCCCCGTCCTCCACGGACAAGGGGCTCCGCCACGCGCGGCTCAACCCGAGCGCCCCCCCGCCCCCACCCCCAGCTCTGCGCGCGCGGGAAGCCCACGCGCAAGGACTTCACCCCAGCCGTCGCCGTCCGGACAGCCGCGTCCCCGAGGGGAAAGGGAGAGGGCGAGGGTTGGGAGAGGAACGGAGGAGACTTACGTGCCGGAGCGGGGCAGTGCGACCTCGGCCACCCAAGTCCACTCGGTCGTTTCAGCCCCTCCCCCCCCAAAAAAGGCTGCGGGGATTGAGAGCCAGCGAGACCGACCCACACCCAGCCCGGCGCGGCGCGCGAAGCGACACCTTTTCGCCTCAGCGGGAGAGGAACTGAAAGCACGTCGGAGGAGGAGGAGGAGAAGCGCCGCAGCAGCTCATGCTCCCACCGGCCAGCGTCGCCCTCCTGCGAGAGAGGAACTTGAGGCGACTTTCCACCGCCGGCGGCCGCAGGGGGCCCGAGAGCTGGCCGCTTACTTCCTGGTCGTGGGGAATTTGCATAGCACTACTTCGGGAAGGCCGGGTGGGTCCCTCCGACGGCCGAGCCGGGAGGGAGGCGGCGCGAGTCACAGGAGCGCGGAGGGAGATTCCCGCCCCCCCTCCGTTTCCCCGCGCCATCTCCGAGGGGAGGCCGGCTGGGGGCGTCCTCCTGAGGGGGGGGCACGACGACAGCTCGCGACCGGGAAGAACGGCCCAACACGGTCGAGGCGGTGGGGAGGGGACTTGGGCGGCGGCAGTGATTAACGAGGAGGTCATTCCAAGATTAATAGCCGTCTACCTTCCTTGCATGGATGCCCGGTGTGGTGTGGTGGATTGAGGGACGGAGCAGGTTTCGGGAGGCTTGGACTCATGACTGCCCCGCCCAGCTTAGCCACGGGGGTTGCTAGAAATCGGTTCCAATGTGAGGACACGTAACAAACCTTCCTTGTTCCGCAAATGAGAGGAATAATTGTTCTCGGATAGGTAATCTAGTAATCGAGGGTAATTTAACAGCTCTTCCTGGTGAACCCAACTCTGGAGTCCAATTTTTTGTCATTATCAGCATTAGGAGTTCGCTGACGCCAGTTCCGCACGTGTTTTCTAGAAATAAGGCGTCTGAAGGACTTACTCCTAGATAAGTGTAACTCCGGAGCTGCAATCTTAGTTATATCAGTGGACTAAGTGCGTTTGATTGTGGTTGCTTTGTCCCCTCGGCCAGGTCTCACTATGTCAGCTTTTTATCCCTATCTATGCAATGGAGGAAGCAGAAGTTTATTTTTAAAATAGGACTTTTTAAAAAAAAGAAAAAGAAAAAATTAAAATTGCCAGCAGCAAAGCTCCTGCTCAAATTGGGAGATAGTAACAAGTGGGGTACCACAAGCCTCAGCCCTGGGCCCTGTGCTCCTCAACATTTTTGTTAATGACTTGGATGAGGGAGCGTGGAGAATCTTTTATCAAATTTGTGGGTGACACAGAATTGGATATTATAGATAATGCTCTGGAAAGCAGAAACACCATTCAAAAATGTCTTAGTAGTATTGAGCACTGGGCTGAAAACAACAGAACGAAAGTTAACAGAAATAAGTGCAAAGTTGCCCATGGGTGTGGGGCAAACACATAGTTACAACATGGGGGATGCTTGGCTCTGTAATTCTTCAAGCGGGAAGGTTCTTGCAATCGTTGTATATCAGAAGCTGGATACAAGCCAACAGTACAATGTGGCTACAAAAATGGAAATACTATTTTAGGCTGCATTAACAGAAGTATAGTTTCCAATTCCCATTAAGTACTAGTTCCTCTCTATTCAGCTGATTAGGCTTCACTCTGAGTACAGTCCAGGACCCTACACTTTAAGAAGGATGCCAAGAAAATGGAACAAGTTCAGAGAAAGGCAACAAGGATGATCAGGGGACTGAAAACCAAGCCCTGTGAGGAAAGACAGAAATAACTGGGATGTTTGGAATTAAAGAACCTCTTAACGAGGGTGAAAGAAGAGAGTGCAAAAAATGGTCTGAAGCTAAACATCAGAAAAACAAAAAACAAAACCTAAGATCATGGCCACTGGTCCAATCACCTCCTGGCAAATAGAAGGGGAAGATAGGGAGGCAGTGACAGATTTTACTTTCTTGGGCTCCATGATCACTGCAGATGGTGACAGCAGCCACGAAATTAAAAGACACCTGCTTCTTGGGAGGAAAGTGATGACAAACCTAAACAGCATCTTAAAAAGCAGAGACATCAACTTGCCAACAAAGGTCCACATAGTCAAAGCTATGGTTTTTCCAGTAGCAATGTATGGAAGTGAGAGCTGGACCATAAAGAAGGCTGACCGCTGAAGAATTGATGCTTTTGAATTGTGGTGCTGGAGAAGGCTCTTTAGAGTCCCCTGGGCTGCAAAGAGAACAAACTCATCCATTCTGAAGGAAATCAACCGTGAGTGCTCACTGGAAGCACAGATCCTGAAGCTGAGACTCCAGTACTTTGGCCATCTTATGAGAAGAGAAGACTCCCTGGAAAAGACCCTGATGTTGGGAAAGTGTGAAGGCAAGAGGAGAAGGGGACGACAGAGGACGAGATGGCTGAACAGTGTCATCGAAGCTACCAACATGAAGTTGACCAAACTCCGGAAGGCAGTGGAAGACAGGAGGGCCTGGCGTGCTCTGGTCCATAGGGTCATGAAGAGTCGGACACGACTTAATGACTAAACAACAACAAAATTAGGCATGAGAAGAGAATACTAAGGTGAGATATGACAGCACTCTTCAAACACCTGAAAGACTGATGGTTGTAGGTTTTTTGGGCTGTTTGTTCTTCCTAACGTATCACCAGTCTCTGTGGCCAGCATCTTCACAGGAGAGGAGTCAGAACTTTGTGCTCTGGTGCAGTTGTGTGGGATAGTTGAGTGTTTCTAACAGGGATCAGCTTTTGTCCTTTTCAGGAGATTGGGTGATTATGGTCATCAGAGTCTTTTTTGTTGTGGGTATATGGTTGTTATAAAGGGGAGAGATTGTCACTGTGATTGATGGGTGTCGTTTGAAGATTGGGTTTTTTCAAAAGTTTCCCCATGCGGTCTGTGACCCCTTTGATGTATGGCAGAAATACTTTATTTGTGGGTGGCTGTTTTTCCTCTTCAGTTTGGTGATGTTTTCTTGGTTTGATGGCTCTTGTGATTTCATTCTTTGAATAGCTATTTGCCTGTAGGGTCTGAATTGAGCTGAAAAACCTACAAAAGCCATCGGATCCCGACCATGAAAGCCTTCAAGAATACCTGAAAGACTGTCATACAGAGGAGGGGCAGGATCTGTTCTCAATCATCCAGGAGTGCGGGACATCTAATAATGGGCTCAAGTTACAGGAAGCCAGATTTCAGCTGAGTATTAGAGAAAACTTCCTAACTGTTAGAGCAATACAACAGAGACACCAGTTACACTCGGGAAGTAAGGAACACTCCAACCCTGGAGGCATTCAAGAGAAAATTAGACATTCATCTGTCAGATATACTTTGATTTGTATTCCTGCATTAAGCTGGGGGTTGGGCTCAACTTCCATTATTCTATGTTTCTATTATTGTAATTTTTACACAATGTGCTATGGTACAGCTTTGCATTTTCTTTCTGTGTCCACTCATGCCTTATTTATGATGTTCTCCATGACTTTTTACATCAGCTAAAATATCACAACTTTAATGTGACCTGCATTCTTTATCTGAAAATTCCTTCTTTCTGTTATACATATTTCACCTGGAAATGCACATTTTTTGGTCTGGTTGCATATGTATACAGATCTGTTTTACAATAAGGGCCAAATGAATTCTGTAGTCCTCATTCTATAGATAAGTATGGATTGCAGTTCTAAGCTACTTTGACTGCTGTAAAACAATCCACTGTGATCATTGTGTGACCCTGGACATTTCTGTTTTTACCCCCTAGCTGTGGTAAAACGGAGCAAGCAGAGGTTTATCTTATAAGGAAGGCAAACATAATTAAGATTGTAAAGCTGGAATTGTTAAACTTATAGAAGGAAACCATTTCTAAGGATGAATCGACATATCTTCTTCCCACAGAAATCTTGCATTTAGAATTATCTCATATTGCTAACCATTTTGTAAATAAAGGATGAGTTGCAGTAATTCCAGGACCATAAGAAACTACTTCATACTACACCTAATTAAAACATGGTACCAGTCTTGTTATACTTGATAAGTTTTGATTGCTTAGGCCTCTGCAGGAAACACTTCTTAGGCATGCTAATTGACAGCAAGGTCTCAGTTTTTTAGAGACAGTATATGTCATATTATCAGAGACTGAGTACAAGCAATGAAGGGCTCTGTCATTTGTGAGCATCTCAGGCTCATTGATTTCACAATGTTGTAGGGAATGCTAGATCACATGTGCAAAACTGAAGTTGGTCTGATTCTTTATTTTGCATATTCAAAATTTCAAACATGGCTCAAACTCCTAGTGTGGACAATAGCATTGAAACAATTCCAGTCTTTGTGTGACCCGAAACAGAAGCGTAAAATAGACTGTGAATCAAGGCACAGTAAGTTAAGTTGTAGCCTAATATAGGTCAACAAAAGGTTGCTGTGATACATCATCCCATGGGGGAAAAAAACCAAAGCAAACCAAAAGCAAAAGGCCCCAGGAAACTGAGGAAAAGTTTTCCAATAAACATTATGTGATAGACTGACAGGATTGCATTCTCATACACTTGGAATGGTAGTCTATACAAGCAAATAAGTCTGAATCTTCTCTCCCCCACAACCCCATATTGCATTCCCAACAGGCTTCATGCTAGCTGAGATATGAACTTTTTCTTCCCAGTTTGGTGTGGCAACCACTGTAACAATGAATGGGAACAGTTGGAACTGGGGCTCCACATCTGATGTTCACCTCCCTTTTTAAAACCTGAAGTATGCAAGGAAGGGTTCTACTACGTATTTGATGCATTGTCAAATCAAGTTAATGTGTAACCACCAATAAAACTATTTTTCTTTGGATTTTGGTGTATTACTGCATTTTTGTAGTATCAGATTTCAAGAGGCCGGTGTAATGAAGTAGATAATGTGTGCGGCTAAGACTAAGGAAATCTGAGTTCAAATCCTCATTCATCCATGGAAGCTCACTGGGGAGGTGGCAATAGTAAAGCAGTCAATATACCTTGAAAACCCTGTTAGGATTGGTATAAGTCAGAAGAAACTTGACAGCACATAACAAATTCAATTTAGAATGTAATGTTCTAATGCTTGCCAGTATATGAGAGTTAAAAGAATGTTATGAATATACATCAAATGGGAATAAACAAGACTAGGAAAAAGAGAATTTATAGGAAAATATATTTTGAAAAATGGTACATTAGACACTTTAATATTCTGTTTCTTCAGCTTGACTCTCATTGGCACAGCCTACCCATACTTTGTAAAAATGTGTTTGTTTGCTTGTTTGACTTTTACCCTGCCCATCTAGATTCAAACGAATCTATTCTGGGCAGCTTACATTATAAAACAAGAATTGCTGTATTTTTGCTCTATAAGACACACTCCCCCCCCCAAAAAAA